TGTCCATTCACAGAATCAGTGCACATTACAGCACAGCATTAAATTTACTGTAACACATTTATAATTAGAGTAATTCCTATAGTAAGTAACTAGTTGTAATATAATATCACTATATTATATTAACCAAATTTAGATAGCTATTTCTTCACGGTAGTTCGTACCGTGACAGCTGAAGTTTATTCGGTACGTCTTGGGCGCGTTATGTTCGTCATAAACTTTACATTATTCTTTGCTGAATACACTCTGCAGGCGTTAATTGTTCTTGATATAAAGAAATTCAATTTCATCCTTGAAGAAATGTTCAAAAAGTGAAGATTTCTGTCAGACAATATGACATGGTATCCATAGCAACCATTGAACTTATTCATCGAGTGATTAGCTCTTTCTTTTCAAATTTAGCCGGAAATAGTTGTTAATCAGTTGCGATTCAATGGAGTAAATGGAGTAAATAGTCAGATGTTGTTTAGAATAGTTTTAAAATAATGTATCATATCTGATGGCAATAGAATTAATAATGACTATTAACTTAATGATAGGATAGGCCAGTTATTTTTTATCCTATTTTTAGTTATAGTATCACTTAATTGTACAGACTTGGATCTATCCGTCACTCAAGTCTAGAAAGCTTCCTTGTTCATCATCAATCAAGTTACTAGTGGATTTATGCTTAGGCTGTAATAGAAATTTTCATTTATTATAATGGCGAAAGTAAATAGGATCAGTATTATGCCTGGTAGTACCGATAATAGTAGTGATGTCGAGGAAGGAACGACCGTATGTTTTCCGCCTTTTAGGAAGAAAAAGACGAATCATGCGAATAAGTTAAATTCAACATCGGAGAAAGTGCATGGAAGGAAAATGTCTGATTTAGTTGCAGGATCTTTCGTAAGCCTTAGCTTAGCTATTGCAAAAATGGGTGGAATAGACGTTTATGATGTAAGTTAAGATATGTACGAGCTTAAACTATGAATAAATGGTAAGGCCTTCTTTTAATGTACAACGTTACTTTACATTGAAAGATAGACAAGGATTTAAAACGTTATGTATTTTTGATAATATTTATTTTGCTATCGATGAAGTTAAATGGTATTAATTACCTATCTTAAATGAAAAGGCCACCTTTCCCTAAGTGATAACATTAGTACTAGAAGCATTATTAATTAAAGAGTTAAAATTTTTTGTTTGGTTTACATGATTGAGGATAAAATTATAAATACGTAGATAGTTTGACAGTCAGAAACAGCCCTTTTTAGTGTATCTGTAGGATTTTCGTATTAGAAATACGACGACAACTTTTCTATTTCTACGCGCTATAGCTTGAAAATTTTCGCCAGAGCCATTACAGAAAAAAATAGTATAAGGAAAATCTTTTCAATTAAAATAAAAATAACAATGCTAATAATGAACTGGCAATTGGAATCGTAATTACAATAATTATGTATCGGGTAGAAATATCAAAATTGTTGTAACCTTACAAGATTAAAAATCGCCAGATGGCCTTCCATTTTCACTTATAAAGTATAAGAATTAGTAATTCTGCTAAATAATCAGGAAAAAATCTAGATGTGATAAACTTTTTAACATATTAGTGAATATGGGTACAGGTAACGTGTGATTAATTCTTCGCCAGTTCGTTCTTGGTATAATTAGCTAAAATTTTACTAAGTATTATTCTATTTCTTATCCCTCTATGTTGTTTATTCTTCATTAAAACTTTGCATTGAGTATAATGTGAAGTGTTTGCTATCTTCTTCCACATATCAGCCGATACATCGGGTTAAAATTTCTATTTGATTATAGTAGCCACTAACACTACTATTAGACCGTCTATCGTTACTCCTAAAGAAACTCTAACTGGTAGATTCGGGTAATAGTAATGTTTATTACATACATCAAAAGGCTTGCACGTAGATCTAAATAAAACAGAAGCAATAAAGCAGGTAATAGACTACTGTCTTAATGTATCATTACACTGGCTCCGAATTTTCTCTCTACATCACATCAAATCATCTAATCTTGCATTATATACCTGTACTGTTCACACCATTGCCATGTAAATATCTCCTGACACGGCAGGCATTTGTCTTCATATTATTTCTACAAAATCGGCTTAGTACTATAATCCAATATAAATCATTGAGTTTTCTATACTATCTCATCTAACTTTAATAGTGATTCCTACATTTATTCAACAATGTCCGATTCTGATTAATTAGTCAACCAAATTTATTTCAGGCAAGTACCATCCAAAGAATGATCTGTAGCTACTTCAAGTATATATGCATTGCACATTGATTTCATACTACATTTAAGCCTATTATAAAAACGCCGCAAATATACTATCACGGATATTTCAAATAAAGTAAATTCATGCAAGATTTGATTGAAAAGCAATCAAGCAGTAGACTGGTTCAATGAATTTCAATAAGAATATAACTTTCCGGTTAAAAGCTTATCCAATGCCAAAGTCTGATTTATTGATTGATGATGACAATCCTTAATTAAACTATTTTCCAGCATGAAACATAACAAATCGCTTACCGGATACCACCTTTCCGGTCTATTAGAAAAAAAAAGCGCTAGCACGTATTTCAGCAAGCTTATTGTACTTTGTGAATCAATCAATATTGACGATCCTGATGAGATATACTGCTAGGCCTAAAAATGTCCCGCATTGCTTTATCTTAATTCTAAAAATTGCCTTGCTAACTTTATTTAAGTTATATTAAATTATTAAATAGCTATTAATATTATTCTATATTACGGATCAATTCGTTACTTTTTTCTTTCATATCTAGGCAGTTAAAAAGGGAAATTTAGATGACTTAAAAAGGGCATTTAAGTCACGATTTTACTTGGATAGAATCAATTATCCAGACGAAAATAGCTTAACTCTTATGCATCATGCAGCTATCCATAATCGCGGTGAAATTATTAACTGCCTAGCAAAACACGAAGCAGGTGCTATTAGCAATCATTACTTCTTAATCGCTGTATCCAATTTATTTTCTATTGCAATCACCGTCATATTGTAAGAAATTAGCTTCTTTTAAAGATCTCTACCTAAACTAAGCGTTTTTACTATTACCTAGCTATTGATGTTACCATCGGAAACGCCGAAGTATCACCATTACATCTAGCTGCAAAACATAATTCATGTGCAGCAGTCAAAGCTCTACTCCAAAATGATGCCATGCTTGATGTCGTCGATAGTACTCTAAGAACACCTTTGCATTATGCCTGCGAAAATGGTAGTAATGAAGCTGTGGAGGTAATATTCAATTTGATATTTCAGAAAGATCTAGGCATAATTTATGGAATCATTCCGCTTTTCTTATTCAAATAAATCATAAAATAATGTAATATTTAACTGTATCTATTTAGACTATTTTATATGAGGCCGACCTCAAGAAAGTGACCCGAACCATTATTAACGCCTATGATAAAGAGCGAGAAACATCGCTACATTTAGCAGTAGCAGCTTGTTCTAAAAATATCGTGCAAAAGCTGGTAAGTGAAATTAGAGTTTATTTAATCTTTAAACTGGAGCCAATAGATATTTTTAGCTGTAAATTTAGCTATAGCGTACTGCATGCAAACATATATATATATATATATATACATATATACATATATATATATACATATATATGTTATACATATATATTCGATTAGACAAGCAAGCAAGATTACTTAAGAATTGTTTTAAATCTTGATTTTTGCATAAAAATATAAAAATATGCAGAATAAATTTACTAATATAGGTGGTAGTCTTCCTTGAGCTGTTAGATATATTTAGCTTTAAATTTAGTTATTACGTACAAGCATAAGTCGATAAGAATTGTTATTAATCTTGATTTGTGCATGAAAATATAAAAATAAGCAAAACGGAGTACTAGTGTATGTAGGTGGTAATCTTCCTTGAGCTGCTAGATAATTTAGCTTTAAACTTAGTTATAGATTACAGCTTAATAATTTAACAGACAAATATGAATCTATGTTGATAATTGCTGTTAATCTTGATCAGTGTATGAAAATATAAAAAAAACGCAGAGTAAATTATCAGTTTCGGTAGTAGTCTTTTTACTAACTATTCTAATAATTAATAATCTCTGAACATCGCCTTAAATTCTGCTAATTTGATCTCTAATTTTGTTAAATCTATAATATTATGCTAAAAATGCTGTATTTAATGTTAGCTTCGAAGTGGAGCAAATATTTATAGAAAAGATGTGCCTGGTCATACAGCATTGCTGTTAGCAGCCAAGCGAAAGAAAACTGAAATAATGAAAATAATACTAGAATTTGGTAAATGCTTAAGCTTTAACCTAACTTACTTTGAGTTGTTTCTGCTAGCCCATACCTTCAGATTGACATACAGGAAGTATTTTACATATATTTTCATTGCTAACTGTCGCGCAAGTCTGGATCTAATTATCAATATAGTTTTACTACTAAATCATAATATTTGATAGATTGTGCAGTTGTTAAATTCTATAAAGGAATGAAACTCTACTTATTTTTTATCTGCCTTGATTAGCCGCTACACAGGGAAAACATGATTATGTACTCGTTCCAAATGAACTTGGAATGACAGCTATTCATTTATCAGTTGATTCAGGATCTGTCGAGGTATCTCTCGCCTTAAAATGTTTCGATATAAAATAGTTTTACTGCTTTAGGCTTAGTTATGTAAGCGGGGCCGTAATAAGATTCTTTTTATAATAATTTTAATAATTAATTGCTTTCATAAATGTGAAATACTAGAAATCATAATATTGGCTATTGCTCAGAATATTTGACATTTCTATCTTTCATCAGAATACAAAATTATGCATTGCTTTTGGAGCAGATATAGAAAGCCAATCGGTAAGTATATAAGAGCTTAAACACAAAATTAAGCCACGATCGGAATAAAATCTTCACTAAAATAGAGTAATACCGTTAATCTTGCATTGCAATGCTAAGGTTATTATATTTTCGTCAAATAACTTGCATAGTCTGAACTTCTAACTCCCTTACATTTGGCTGCATTGAATGGATATTACGAAATTACAGAAGTTTTAATTGCAAGAGGTGCTAAAGTTAATACTCCTGATTCGAAATCCAGAACGGCTTTACATTATGCTGCTTTAAGTAATAATGTCAAATTGATGAATTTCTTAATGAATAATGTAAGATCAAGAAATATTGTGAAGTTAGGCCAAGCCAAATAAATTAAGTTAGAAAAATTAATTATAGTGATCACGCTTTTAATAGGGAGCCTTAGTCGAAGTCAGAGATGCTAAATTGCAAACTCCGTTAATGGCAGCAGCCTATCATGATGCCGCTGATGCAATCGAATTTCTATTACAAAATGGTGCAAGCACTGAAGGACGAGATCAAGAGGGCAGGAACTGCCTTCATTTAATCGCAGAAAAATATTGTAAAGGTGCATTGACGGCTGTTATAGAAGTAAGTTTGGAGATTTTAGATTTATAGCATTATCGATACGTTGCGCAACAAAATTGTAAATATTTTTTTACATTGTAACATTTAGCACAGTAGCATCGATCTCATCAACGTTCGTGATAAACTTGGGCTTACTCCACCACTAACAGCTGCATCCTCTGGATCTGTAGCTGTAAGAGGATAATAATAATTGTAGCTAACATAAGTTCTTGAATATATACTATCAAAATCTATGTTAAAGTTCTTCTGTTAGAGAATACCTGAATGAATGAAATATAAATGATTCGACAGCATCAACTAAGAAACTAAGAATCTTGCAATTATATTTTAAATAATGTACAGATATTATTGCAAATGGCTCAGCGATTTCAAGAATTTGTTATGCAACATGAAGACAGCAATAGCAATAACATCTTGCATTTAGCTGCATTAAATAACCATCGCGACACGGTTAAAATTATCACCGATCACATGCCGTTTATTAATGTTAATTCACGCAACGCAACTGGGCAGAGACCTTTACATTTAGCTGCAAAGAACGGCAATAATCGAGTTATACAATATTTAATTAAACATGGAGCTGATGTTAATACTAGGTAACTGTACATTAAAATAATATGTGTATGATAGCTCATTCAAAGTAGGATATTTGACTAACTGTATGTAATATGTTATTTGGATACGTATTGAATGTGTAATATAAAGCTAAAATTAACGCTTATGAACTTACTTGATTTTAAAACTATGGCAATAGAGGTAGCACTTTGAGGCATCTTATTTTACTTTACTAGGGATAATTGCGGTTGGACTCCTTTGCACTATACTGCAAAATATGGTTTTGCCAGCAGTGTTCAACTGTTACTATCAAAGGAAGCAATTGTTGATGCTTTTAATGAAGGAAAGGTGAGGATTGAATAATTCTGGATTGCGGTACCAATGCAGACCAGATTAATATAATATCAATTAATAATGATAACCAAGAAAGTTATGCTAAATTAAATTATCTAAAATAAGGCAATTCTTTAAGTAATCCAGCACAAGATGAGAAATTCCCACTATAATTCAGTAGAGCAATACTGACTCAATTGTTTTAAATAAGCTATTGCAGGAAATATTTATTAAATTCTATTTACTAAAGTAGTAGTCAGGTGATTACAAAGCTTATTATTCTTATATACTCATATGCAGCTTATAAATTACATTATATCAATTTACAATTTAACTGAACGAAGTTTATTACACAAGAGGGTAGTAATTACTTTAATGTGTTAGTCTGCAATCCTGCTTGAAGAACTCCACATCAACTTTAAATCAAAATTACAGCACAGCTCGAAAAAATAATGTATCAACCATAGCATTATCACATTTATACTTCCTGTTTATCGTTAATTAAATAAAAGTACAGCTTGAAAGAATGCGTCAGTAACAGTATTATCACACTTACATTCCCGTTTTCTTGTTCATTAAAATGATTTCTATACCTTAGAAAACGCCGTTGGTGCTTTCATGCGAGTCAGGGCATATAGAAGCGGCTAAATTGTTGCTGGAAAAAGGTGCAGATCCTTCTGTTAGAAATGATAAGGACCAGAACTGTTTAGATATAGCTTGTGAATTTCGCTACAGTGATATTGGCCTAGCTATAATTGAAACAAGATTGTAAGTTCTCGATTTCTTACACTTATTGAACTATATTATTCTACTCCCAATATATGAACTGTTTTAAAGCTGAAACAATAAATTTCATTTTCTTTAGCTATATGGATATATTTAAAATTAAGAATCATTTCTAAGTTTGTTAATATAACTTCCTTATGAAATGTTAGCTGGGATAGGGTTATGGATAATAGATCATTTGACGGCTATAATCCAATGAAACGATTAATAGAACGATTACCCCTTGTTGCAGAGGTAAGTAACAAACAGTGCTATATCGAGTATACGGTCTATCTTCTAGTGGTGTTGTAGGGTATAAATTTGAGATGCTCCGAAAATGATGTATGAAATTAATCATTTTATTTTCACAATTATGAATTTAAGACCAGTAATCAGCAAAAGATATAAATATTAAGCTATATTAGGAGTCAAGACAAAATAATTAAATCGATTATATCAATACATTAATACTTTTACTTGTGGTTGTTTCCTATGGCTCTACTTCCCATTAATTTCATTTTCTGGTTTATTTATATTCAGGCCGTTATGGACAAATCAATAACATATACGAAAAGCAAATATGGTAAAGATGAATGGAAACAGGTAGAAAGTATTTTCTGAAACGTACTCGTATGATTGTTATATACGAGTATATACCATCTAGTTGCTATTATCACAAGCTAGAAGGATCAGATCAACCGTTTATTTAATTAATTTCTCTGCATTAGTTCTAAATAATAGCGTTTAGATAGCTGTAAATTAGCTACATATAAATTTAGATTTGATGTCAAGCTATTTTATATTCTTAAGGTCGATAAATTGACTTGCATAATTTTAATGGTAAAGATGACAACAATTATTTTAAATTCCTATTTTTCTAAATTTAGGTAGCTTTTGATTTTACACACCTTGAATCATCACCTGAAGATACTCATTTACAAGATGTTAAGGAAAAATATATTGCACTGAATGTAAGAATCTCTTTAAAGGCATTCTACTTTAGATAGACATAATATTATAGAGTTATATTCTGTCACATTGATGAGCTCTTGTCTACCAAACTTAAGTATCTGTTGCACCTCATGAGATATTTTTAGCTTTCAGTTGTGAAACTTGTAGCAGGTAGAGAAAAATCTGTCATTATCTTTAACAATCTTCTCATTGTCTATTGCAGAGTATTTGCGCTCTTGATCGTGTTAGACTGATGAAACATCCTTTAATTAACGCTTATGCATATGCAAAATGGTACATAAGAACATTAACGTTTCATAAAAGAGCTATCTATTCGTATGATATAGTATTTTGAGATAAATCATAAAAATGATACAAAATCTTCTTTATTGCCAGTAATACGAATTAATTAGATTAAACTTCGAGCAGACCTATTTAAATTATTAAATTTAAGTATGATAATCGTTTACGTAGTACAAAAAGAAACATTGATCATTTGTCATTCCTCTGCAATCATAGGAAGGCAGCTCTTCAACTTATATACGTGTGTAAAATAGCGTTAGATATTCTCTATTTATTTGGATTGGGTATTCCTATTAGCATGAATACTATAGATTTCGTGAATTTTGTGCAAAATTCAAGTGTTCCAAATTCCTACGTTTCAATAGTAAGTTTGCGGTAAAATCGGTGATAATCTTTGTAATAAAATGGAAACTTGTTTTATATTCATTTTTCCCCAATTCGATATATAAATTGTCGATATATCTTACCTTAATGATGAGGAAATCAGTTGCATACTAGTCAGTATATTACATCTATTGCGTTTTTTTTTTGTATTAGGCCAAACCCGGAGTTCCTATTCGAAACATTATTGTATTTATTACAGTGATGGTAATTTTATCAACCTTAAGCTACTTTTTCTTGGCTGGAGTGAGTATTGATATCTTCAGGCTAATTCTAACTCTAATAATAACGTTAGGCTTCTTTTCCCATATCAACATTAGCGCTTAGAGTTGTCATGAAAGTCCCAAATAAAACTTGAATTAAAAAGCATTTACGAAGAATTAAAGTGTTTTAATTATAGCATTTTCTTGACAATTTCTTATTTTCAGCGGCGAATTTTCCTCTATTTCTTGAAACAAACTTTATTTGAAGTGCTTATATCAATCTTTGGTCTGCTTTACGCTCTACCATTCGATAAGCCGATTAATTATGGGAGTATTCGTATTGGAACGCTTCTTGTTCTTTGCTTATTTGTCAACATCATATACATATTGAGAAAGTAAGGCTGACTTAGAATTCATATTCTTTATAATACAAATCATTAAAATAGCTTTATGAAAGTAAAGCTATTGTTCAGTGGATGTAAAAAAGTACCTTTACTACAACAGATGCCAGTTAACTTTACTTATTAAAGTACGTATGAAGTGATAGTTTGCTAAATGCACTGTTATGAGACAAATTACTCTACCAATAGAGAAAAAACTGTTTTAAGTGTACTAATAACCATAAAGATATATAGAATATGACGGTTTATTTATTTCTTCAAGTAATGTTTTTCCAATTCTGTATTAAATAGATACATACAGCTGTAATACAGCTTCGTGTATATATACGAGTAGTGTGTACATTTAATTAACGGATGATATTAAGGATTACAATAAAGCAATGATTAGATTGTTACTGTATAGGTTTAATGATGTTAATCTTGCATTCTAGTCTTCCTGGTGTAGGCCTATACATATCAATGTTTTTTGCCACCATGATGACCATTCTTAAAGCTTCAGTGGTCTTTGTACTATTTCTGGTCGCATTTGCTGTTGCTTTTTCAATGATATTAAGCGATATGGTAAGAAAATTGTTAACACGCATTCTCAGCCATGTTTTCCTGTTATAGTAATAGATGCAATATATAAAAGATACCGCTAGCTCAATACATTGAGAAATCAAAACACACTATTGTAGCAGTTTTACTTATTAAATGAATTCTTTATTACTGATACAGACAATATTCCGTGGGTTTGATATCGCAATAGTTACAGTATTAACCATGATGACTGGAGAGATTAATTATGCCGATACCTTCAGCCATTTAAGTAGTACAGGAAGATTGACTGGGTTTAAAGTTGAATTATTACTTTTTGGAATTATGGTTATTGTTATTAACATTGCATTTGCAAACTTGCTGGTGAGATGTAGAAAGATTATATATTCTTTAAAATTATTACCAATGCTAATGGAGCAATTCTATTGATAGAAATAAGAAATTCAGATATTATGCGCGGGTTAATTATCATGTAATTGATTAGATTTAATCTTAAATTTCATAATCATTTTGTATGAGGATATAATATATCCTAGATAACTCTATAGTCTAGTTTATTAGACTTCTATAGGATTATATCAGTATCTATTTTGATATATATGATTTGTTACTAGCAGCCTTTCTTTTAGATAGTCGTAAAGCCGTAATGAGTTATATCCTTTTAGTATTAAGGATTATTTCTTAGATTATAATGTTTGAAAACCTAACAAATTATAAATAAGCTAGCCATTATAAATGCTAATTTCATCGAAAAATGAGTAAGATGTAATACTAATGTGTCGTTGAGCATACTAGTTCATTATAGTAGCTGAATTAACTGAGAAATATGCCCTAAAATCCAATATATAGATTGGTCTTGCCGTCGGTGATATAAATGAAGTCAAAGAAACAGCTAGCTTAAACCAAGCTAAAAATCATTTTCAGTTAATTATTGGATCATACGAATCATATCCGATGTTCATTAAAAAGATTATGCATAGTCCAGGATTAACTATCAGGAAAGATAAACACTCGAGCTATTCGCAAAAGGTAGACATTTTACAGCTTATGTCTTAAAAAAGTTAACAAAATCTTTTAATGTTATCCTTTCTTAAACAATGTAATTTAGCAAATTTGGCATAATTTAACTGCCAAATTAAAATTCATTCAAGAAGATAAAAATGAAGCTGATCAGGAAACTAATTTGAAAGACTTGAAAGCTCTCGTTTTAAGGCAACAAACGGAGTAAGAATTATTATGTTTTAAGCACTTTCAGTAAATCATAATTAATGAAATATAATTTTTTATAATTATCTTCAGAATAAGTCGGTTAAAAGATTTAATTGAAGACGCAAAATCAGATATTAACTTTCATGGCAATATCAACCGCACTGAAACCAAAAAACTGATTGATCAAGTCTTACAAGCAGTTAAAGCCGATGGAAGTGAAAAATATTCCTTCGGCTAATGCTATCTGAAACAGTAATACTTTTATTTTAATCTGCATTAGGGTATGCCTTATAACTTTTTTTACGTAGAGAGAATAAAGATTATTCTAACCGATTTTAATTTAAAATAAGCTGTAAGTATTCTGAGATGGATCAGTTGATCAAAATGTAAAGGTGACTATTAATTTACAAAATGTATAAATATCTGCAACATGCGTGTATACTGGCACAATATATAACATTTATGGAATATATTCAACAAATACATTATTAATGCTGCTAAATACCAGTTTAAATCAATTCTTATTATAACCATCTTTGTAAAATAGATTATCATGCTCTTATTTTAGTATTTCTTTAATACAATATGTGATATTGATCAATATTTCATTTACAACCTATTCTCTCTCAACCACATAATATTAAGTTTCAAATATCATTGTGTTCCGAAATCATCCACTGCAGTGTTATTTTTTTCACATATTGTTATAAACTATCATTTTATCCATTACTATCATGTTTACAAAGTATATAGTCTTGTTACCATGCTGTAGCTCACATTGAACTAATCACGAAGATTCTGGATTAATATTTTGCTTAGTATCACCAAAAGATTAGTCTTACGTTTGATTATTACAGTAAATTTTCGCATATCGCAACCATTTCACCACTAGTGTTTCGATATTGTGTTTGTTTATAATATCTAAAATGTATTCGAAATATGCACGGGTATTGAAACAATAATCTCCTTAACTATAATGCAGCTCGTCTTGTGATGACTTGAGATTCTTTGCCGTAAAATGTCACTGGTTTATATCTATATGCGAATACGTTATAAGAATATTGCTGTTTATTTAAGATGATTTTTCCGAGTAATTATTCTGACTTGTATCAGCCAATGTTAGTAATCAATTTATCTGCATTGCAATTTACTTGAATAAAATGCCATCATATCTAAAAACTATCGTAAATTTTTCTTGTTTCTAAAACACATATAGCAAATAGAAATGATCATTCACCAACGTTATCTAAAGCTTATTTACTAATATTCTGTTGCCGTTAATCGCTAAGCCGAATTTAAAAATTTATATGCAATCACTAATATCTCGTACTTTCCCATTTACAAACTACTCTACAAAATAAAATTCATATAGTTCTATCTGATAAATTAATAAACCAGATACAGGAAACTTAGAGATAGAAGAGCATTTAAAGGCCTTGCAAGTATTTTTTTAACCAGTCGCTAAAAGTGATTCTTTTCGAAATTATCAAATCGAAATTGAGAATTTTAATACAATTTCCAGCAGGGCAAGAGTTTAAAAATATTTTAAATCTTCCTTGCTCGGCTAGTTGATTAAAATAAACAGAACTTCCACTACAACTGTGAAATAATACAGTACCGTCTGTTGCTAGATGGTGCTTAACCTACAATAACTATCTTACACGTCTTCTACAATTTGCAGGGCGTATACTCGAATTATTCCTCGAGAAGGTGTCTTAGTAAGTTGATCGCTCTGAAGGTCTATTTCTGTCACTTTATTGAACCTCCGATCGTAATAACCTCTTATGAATGCTTAAGAACAAACTTGCGAAAGAAAAGTAAGATTTTTCAATATAATTATCAATCGTTAGAAATAACCAATTGCAAACTATTCTCATCATACTTAAGAGAGTCACATACAAGATTTTTCTAATATAGTCCTAAATATGATAGTAAATTCACGGAAGGTATATTACCAATAAACGTTTTTAATATCCACTACGATAGTCAAACAGCTAATTGGCAATAATGAATAATCTCATAATTGCTACAAATAGCTATTAGAATCAAAGTTTGCACGAAATGTAGCAATTAATTGGCTCTATTTCGACTATTTTCACTTCTATTGATTTCTTTGTTTTTTACAGAAAAGCATCATTGTTAGCCGCTGGATAGCTATTTGTAATTATTATAGTTAGTGTTAAGTAATCCATTTGTCTTAATTCTAGTCAGCCTGAGCTTTACATGCCAAATGTATCTAGATCTATGTAAGTAATACCAATTTGCAGCTATCCAAAATCATCAACGCAAAGTCAACGATTTTTATAGTATGCAATGTTTCTTATGTTTTATGCACTAGATAACCTCATCTTATACGACAAGTTACTACTCTCTCGTGGTATAAATAGGAGTAAAACTCATAAAACTAATCTTGCATCAAGCCGCTTATTATACTTGTGAGGAATTTGTTAGTCTTACTTACTGTATCTCTCCATAGTTAGTTGGTGACTAAGTAGCTAGTAAGTTAGTTGATCACTCACATTAGAAGAGAGTAGACAGTGGTATTACTCGTGTGGGTGACAATCCCACTTCTAATCTATATATATAAAAACGTAACCTATAAGCGTACTTTTGCAGTAGGAACCTTATCCAATATTTTTGATCAATTGACCATTTGAAAACTAGTCTATAGCTCATCCATGAACAAACCTACTTACTGCCGTAAGATAATTATACTTGATAGTTCATAGAGCAAAATAAGATTCTCTTTGCTTATAATAATAAATTCTACACCTGTTTTAGTTTTAGAATTGCAGTATTCCTTATTGAATTTATTCAGTGCATAATTATTGATCAATGGTTATGGCACAAAGAAATCCAATTCACTACTTAAAAAGGTAATAAAATCAGTGCAGGTTCTATAGAATGAATGTAGGCTGGTCTCCATAACAACCATCGAACTTATTCATCAAGTAATTACCTACATCGTTATAAATTTAGCTTGATATGCTAATTAAATCTTTGAGTTCCAGAGAGTAAATAGTGTTTATTCGCATCTTCTGAAATGAGATAATTCACTGTAGGCTGGCGAAACAAACGATTGCTCGATAGTTAGAGATAAAGTGAATTGTCGTTTCCTCTAGCTAGTTAGTATTGTAATTGAATTGAGTTGCAAATCCATTTGTAAAAACAGCTTGGAAAGCCAACCTTTATCGATCATCAACTAATCTACAGCTTAATGCTGAGCTTATACTGTAGCTAAAATTTCTTTTTTCAATATGACAAAAATAAAGAAGATCCATACCATGTCTGATAATGCCAATAATGATCAAGAAGAAGAAACAACTATGTGTTATCGGCCCTTTAAAAAGAGAATTACTGATCATTCTAGCAGCTTCAATTCAGTACCTGGCAGAGCTTGTCAAAGAAAAACTTCTAATATTGGTGTAGGATCATCAGTAAGCTTAAACTTAGCCATGGTTAAAATGAGCGGAATTGACGTATATGATGTAAGTCTAGCTGCTCAGACATACTCTAATATGGAATACTGACATTAAAACTAACTTGATATATAGCGGTTATTTTAAATTGAAAGGAGTATAAGGCTTGTCAAAGTTATACAAGTATGCTTTTGTAATATTATTTATTGGACAATCAAATTTTGGGAAATTTTACTTCCAATTGTCCCAAATGGAAGGATTGCCAAATATCCGTAAGATCTTCACCTCTGTATCAAATTAGAGATGCTATGGATTCGAATATTGAATAGTTCTAATTTCAGTTAAGATAACCATAGATGAAGTATGAGATGGATATTGTGGCACAACAAGATCTTCATTTCTCATAATATTGGGGATCTATTCATTCAGATATTGAAGTGTTTTAATTCTAGTTCAGATAAATGTAGATGAAGTATGAGATAGTTATTGTGGTACGAAAATACTTCATCTCTGTGTAATGTTGGAGATGCAAGTGATTCAAATATTGAGTAGCTTTAATTTTAGTTTAGATTACCATAGATGAAGTGTGAAAGGGATTGTGCCGTTACAATGCAATCATCATAACGATGTCTTTAGTATTTCTGCATTAGAAATGTTGTTATGCTAGCCTTTAATTTCTCTTGCAATAATATGAGAATTTTAAATCAACACTCTCTTTAGAATAGCATATATTAGGACCTATTCCATTAGATATTAAATGAATGCAGTCGACTGGAAATTGCCTATAATCAGGCAACAGTCCAAGTTAGTTGAATCATGATTTGTGATTTCAATCCATGCTTTGCCATCTTCACTATCCATCAGTAAATGGTTTGGTTGCAGGATTTTAATTACTTTTATTAATAAATCGACATTCAAAACTTCTTGACGGGCAATAGTATGATTTCTGTAGATGGTTAGGTCACGAAAATTAATGCTCAGGAACATATAATTAATTATCATAATAATTTTATTTTAGCAACGTTTACTACTTTAATAATTTCTATTGACGAGAACCCAAATTAAAAAAGCCGGTCCTATATTTTTTTTCGATACGGTATATAGGCAGCAATAAAGGGGAACTTAAAAGACTTGAACCGGGCATTCAAGTCAAGATTTTATTTGGATAGAATCAATTATCCAGACGAAAATGGCTTAACTCTTATGCATCATGCAGCCATCCATGATCAAGGTGAAATTGTCAACAGCCTAATAAATCACGGAGCAGGTATTCGTTATTACTATTTATTAACAGTATAATTAACTTCTAGCTTTCAAGAACTATCCTATCATGATAAATCAAGATATCATGAATTACAATTAATCGAAAAATGGCAGATAATAATGATGGCGATAGTTTATTTTGCACAATTATAAGACAGCAACATATGCATATGCCATGCCCATAAAAATCGATACTGATGCATACTACCTACAATAATATAGCTATTGATATCAGCATTGAAAATGCCGACGAAACAGCATTGCATTTAGCTGCAAAGTATAATGCATGTGTAGCAATCAAAGCCCTAGTACAAAACGGTGCTATGCTTGATGTTGTTGATAGCAATGCCAGAATGCCTTTGCATTATGCCTGCAAATATGGCTGCAATGAAGCTGTCAAGGTGATTTTTAATTTAACATAGCAAGGTAGCCTATCCCTTTTCGATTTTCCGTAATCGTAAGTACCCTCTAATTAAAAAGAAATAGTCAAGTAATGAGAAATTGAACTACTGCTTTTATAGACAATTTTATTTGAAGCCGATCTCATTAAAGCAAC